CTGGTGCTCTGTGGTTCTTACATTCATCCCTTTTTTGAAGCTGCCCAGCCTGTTCAAAGGTATGAGCCCCTCTGTAAATATCAGATTTCTGCATTAAAAAAAAAAATGACAAATTCTTAATACCTGTGAGGGATAGAATATGCAAATGGCTAAAAAATGAGCTCTTTTTTTGTAATTTGATCTTATCTGTCAAATCTTCAGTAGCTACATAGTGTTCTTTCCACTTGCCCCTTCTCCAAAGTATAGCGACCTTGGCAAGACTATTTTTATTGATAGTAACTTGTGAAGTTGTAGTTTGTGATGTGGGTCCTTCCCATCTCCAGGCTTCATATGTTRTCTTGCCCCAAGGCCAATGTCACTGGGCCCAAAGAAGAGACCGCCATACTTTTGTAAATCTAGGCACATGGAAGTTGTTATTCTAGATCGGCAGTTCCCAAAGTAGGATGTGCAGATTTTCAGGGGTCTTTAAGATGCCTATCAGGGAGTCTCTGATGTCAAAATTGATAACAAAATAATAAGAAGGCAGTTTGTCTTTTCATTTTATTAATAYTGCACAGATTGTTCTGTATAAATGAAGGAAGGGTAAATCCCTGGGACTTTAGCAAGAACCAAGGCAGTGGCACCAAACTGTATTGGCAAACACTGCAACAAGTTATTTCATCTCTATGTGATTTACAAATCACAGCAAGCCTTACAGGAAGCATTCAAGTGATCGAGATGATTCACTTTGTCATCACATGCTCAACAATTACCTTCAACTTCGGGAACATGGAATTCTAGTGCACACATCACCTTTTGAAGACTCTGCATCGTTGCAAGTCAGCTGCCTGCTGGTGWGCAGAATCCTGCTGGACAGTGATGGCTGGTTGAGCTAGCAACTGCAACAAGATGCTGAGGGTGACAGGGTTGGTGACCTTAAGGCCYCAGGGCATGTTCCTGGAGCCCCAGAGCCAGGGACTGACCAATTGAAACATCCTCATGGCTAGGGTGTCTCCTGCACAACGCAGACCCTGAGACCCCCAGTACACTGTGTCTCCCTCAGTCATGGGGTTAAGATGCACTATGTTTACCTGGTCAAATCCAGGACTAAAAGCTCCCCAAGAATAAATGAGAAACAGAGCGTGTAGAGGAGAGTACATAAATACACAACCACGGAGTCCATTCGAGATTTCCAATTGCTCAGCCACGGCAGGACTCTGTCCTCCACAATCCAGATACACGGGTTTGTATTGACCTTGGCCTCAGCATTCCTTCCCATCACTGGGCAGTTATCTATCTTTCTTTCTTTCTTTCTTTCTTTCTTTCTTTCTTTCTTTCTTTCTTTCTTTCTTTCTTTCTTTCTTTCTTTTTTATCTCAATAGAGCATGCGTTTCAGAACACACCAGACTGGATTCCTCCAAATCAGAGCATAAGAAAGAGATTTATGTGCAGATAGTCTCTTTGGGAACATAATCTTAGGGAGGAGGAATATGGGATTAAGGAAGGTAGAAACCAAGCAAAAGAAAATATTGGTAAAGAATAGGTGACTAAGTAGGTAGCCACCAAGGAGGGCAACTGGAAATTTTTCTTGTTGTTCGTTATGGTACCAGGGATTGAACTCAGGGGCACTTAATCTCTGAGCCACATACCCAGCCCTTTTTATTGTTTATTTTGAGACTGAGTCTCACTAAGTTGCTTAGGGTCTTGCTAAGTTGCTGAGGCTGGCTTTGAACTTGCAATCCTCCAGGCAGCTGAAATTTGATCCTCAGAACCCACTGTGAAAACAGGAAAATTATGTCATTCAAGGGTTATCCTGGGAATGAAAGAGGGAAACATCATCTATTAGTTAATATCTTCCACAGGCAAAATATGGCCACTGGTGTTGACCGATTTGGACTTCCAGCTTGCATATCCACAGCGCATTGAAGATTCCTACAGACTGTGGCATCAGAAAGACTTTGGGTCTGCAAAAAAAGAGAAGAGCCACACACAGCCCTTGAGAACAGATCATTTAGCTATAACAGGTACAAGAACAAGGTCCAAAAGATTTTTGGACAGTGCCCAGGAGGTATCCAGTACCATTCACAAACAAGTCCTAAGAAAGTCCCAGGAAAATGAAATTGGAAAAAAACAAAACCAGCAGCCTCCTCCACCAGAGAAGAGAGGCAGCGGGGAAGACCCAAGTACCAGGGGTGTGGGACTTCCTTTCACAAGCTGCCGGGTCACCCTCTCTGAACTGAGACCAGATTCGTGGGCACACCTGACACTGCTCAGGAAAGACAGAGCTTCTTGGGAGGACAGAAAGAGCCTGACACCCAGCCACTGAGTGTGCCTGACCAAACGGACAGGAATGACAGGGTGGGTCCAGGTCGGGAGCTCCAGACCCTGACGGCACCAGGCTGTGCTGGGGTGAGTGAGGCACCAGAGGGAAGGGCAGGAGGGTGTGCACCCAGGGAAGGGACACAGGAGTCGAGGGTGAACAGGGGGGCAAGCTGAGGTCAGCTAGAGAGGGACATGGTGCCCCCACCAACGGTCCCAGGAAGGTCTCAGATCAATGAAGCAGGACGGAGGAGCAGGAGCAGTGGGTACGAAACCTGGTGGAATGACCAGGGTTCCCTGCATCTGGGGCTAAAGGAGGAGGTTTGGGAGAGAAAAAAGAACCGGAACCTCACTCAAAGAAAAGCCAGGGTGACCTCAGAGCCTGGGCTTAGTGTGACATTGGCCCTGGCATCGCCCCCAGGGGGTGGCTTCTCAGACACTAACAGAGAAGGGAGGGGATGGGAAGGCCGTGGGGCACCTGCTCCTCGATGGACCCTCTCAGCTCGCACTATGAGGCCCGTCCAACAGGGCAGCCCTAGGCTCTCAGCCGTTCCCTAGTGTGTCTGCATCTCATGCTTTTCTGCTTTCTCCTTCTCCTTATTCTCTCTCTCTCTCTCTCTCTAGTCACCTCTCCTTCCTTCCGTCCTTTCTGTCTGCTTCCACTGTTCTTCCTAGACCTACAAGTCTATTTTGCAAAAATAAGAACTGTCCCTTGGCTGAGTCCGTACCCTGACCAGGCAGGCTGAGGACAAAGAATGACTTCTGGCTTTGGGAACAGGTGGAAGGAGCGGACGGTGGTGGCCAGACCGAGGGTATCCAGTTGATGGGAGGTCACACTGCGGTCCGGTGGTGGGAGGGAGAAACTATCCACAGACCCGAGCTCGGAGGACGTTTGGACTTCCTGCAGACCACGCCCAGTAAGAGACTGGGTATCAGGGCAACTGGGAGTGAGTGACCTCCAATTCCTCCTTTTGTGAGGAGAGGAAACTCTTTTTTATTCCTTTGTCATCCCAGGAAAGAAAGACACCCTAAGAGGCAGGGTCTTCAGGCCTGTGCCACCACATCAGGAAGAGCCTATCAATCCCGACCGCCCATTGCCAAGGGCATCTCTACTCTCCCTGGTCAACATGGCATCTTAAGGTCTCCAAAATGAAAATCACTCATTTCCAAAAGAGACATTTGGCCCTTTAATTTCTTATTGATGACTTAGAACCACGGAGAGATTGAAAACCAGATGATTCACTTGCTCTGCACCACCCCATGCCCTACCTGAAGAACCAGAAATGCCTATTAATATCCGCACATCCACTGCAAGCACAGAGAAGCCCAATAGGATTAATCTGGGCTAAAGACGAGGGCTGTGGTTGAGAAGCATGACTGTTCCTGGTCCTGGCAGACCGAGAACTCCCTTCCATTTTGATAGGTTACCCCGCAAGAAGCCTGTTGCCCACAGCAACCATACCACAAAAGATGGACAATGGGGACATGCCCAGGTGACATCACTGTCAGAGGGTAAGCGCTGGAAAAAAAGAAAAAAGTTGATCCAGAGATCTCCATCACTAAGCTGGAATGAAGACGGAGCAGTTTAAAAAAAAAATCCTACTTCCTTAGGATAGGGCTTGTTTTCCGTATAAAAAGCAAGTCAAACAGAGACTCCACACGCCAGACCTGAGAGTCCAGAGARCTTGAACTTCCCTGCGCACCAGGTGAGTCTTCCCGGTGGACCTCCTTAATATTCTCCTATCAGTACTTTCAGTTGATTGGGATCTACTTGCCATGTTAGGATGCGTCTATTTTAAAAGTGATGACAACTTTGTTTGGGGCGACTTTACGATTGTTTTTTGAACTTCCCACTCCAATTCCAGCTGTGGAGCTAAAGATCAGACAGGGGGAGTGATCTGTGTCAAGATTTGTTAGCAGGGGGCTATGCCTATGTCAAGGGCACTTTGGGTGACTTTTCATTCTTCCTCTCATAGTTTTGAGGATTTTTAATATGGAAAGTGTCATATTGGCAATGTGGCTATCCGTAAGGAAAGCATTCCTTTACCCCACGACTGTATGATCCCTCAGAAAACAGACACACGGCACAATTTGTAACCACTAAAAGGGAGGACAGGGCTCTGCTGGGGGGACAGGAGGAAGGCCAGCTGGACTCGGGGAGAGGCCTGGGGAGGACACAGGGACAAGCAGCCAGGCAGTGGGAAGCCTTCCAGAAACCACCGCACAGGGGACGGTGTGGACAGAGGCTCCCGAGGTCATGGAGGCCCAGGGGAGGTCCCCCCAGAGCTTCCCTGGGAGAGCCGGGGCACTCTGCAGGGTGGACGTGAGTGGGGACACGCCACATCTTTCCAGACTTTTGAAAACCTGGGGCCTTCCATCAATCCTAGGAAGCTGCTCTGTGCGGAGTGGTCTGAGTTCAGTTTCTGGGTCACGTGGAGGTTTCTGGATGCTCCAGGCAGAGAGGAAGCAGAGGAGGGCTYCAGTCTCCTGGGACTCAGCCAGTCACTTTGACCTTTGACCTTGACAGTGTGCAGGGACCCTAAAGCCTCCTCTGATCTCAAATTCACAGAAACAGAGAGAAAAGGGAGACTCTCCCTTATGAAGAGGTGCCCAGTGAGAGCCATGGCCATCAAACAGAGCTTCTTCCTGGCTTCTCCAAACTAAGTCACTTTTCTGCCTCCAGGTCCAGCCTCCCCTGAAGCATGAGCTCCTACCAGCAGAAGCAGCCCTTTGTCCCACCCCCTCAACTGCAGGAGCAGCAAGTGAAGCAGCCCTGCCAGCCTCCCCCCAAAGGAGAGCCGTGCCACCCAAATGTCCCTCAGCCTGGGAACACCAAGACTCCAGAGCCAGGCTGCACCGTGGTCCCTCAACCAGGGTACACC